TCTATTCTATTCTATTCTATTCTATTCTATTCTATTCTATTCTATTCCCTTATTTCTTTTTTTGAGACAGGGTTTCATACAGAGCTTGGCTAGCCTCAAACTTACTATGTAGCCAAAATTGGCCTTGAACGACTTATCCTCTCATATTCAACCTCTCAATTGGAATTACAGGCGTGTACCACCACACCTAGCTTGGTGGTTTAGGTTCTAAAAGGGTGGTTATTCCTAGTATCTACAAGGGAATTGGTTCCAGGATCCCTTAGGATACCAAAGTGTGTGAATACTCTGACCCCTGTATGAGCTAGCTCACTGTCTGAACACAGCATATACACATACTCTTTCATGTTTTAAACAATCTCTTGACTTTTAATTTATGGATTTATTCATACTACCAATAAACTGTCAATGTCATATGAATAGCTTAAGGAGTAATGACAAGGGAAAGATCTCTGGATGCTCAGTACAGATACTATGTTTTTTCCATATTTTTTCCAGCTAAGGTTGGTTGAGATCACTGTTGTGGACATTTTAGTTTATGATATGTAAACATGTTTTTGTTATAATCCCAAGCGGGGAATTTTAGTTTGTCCACACCTGTTAATTGTCTTTGCCAGCTGGAATTAGTTGAATTCTGGGGACTTTGAGGGGTATAAATATGATAGCCCAGAGGAAGGCGGAGCAGGGGCTTCAGGAGATGGAGGAGGACTGCTTGCTGCACTTGCTGGTTTGCTGGTTACCTGGACTTCTGGATTTCCTGACAACAAATATTGGTTGCCCCAAAAGAATCCTACCACCCTTCCCAGCAGGAAGTAAAGAGGGCAATGTCCCCTTTCCCTTACAACCTTCTTTTTCCCCTACCTAGGGTTGGGGCATTGGAAGGGAGGTATAAGCTTTAAGAAACCCACAAATAAAGCAACGTTTGAAAACCTAACGCCTACAGATCAGAGTTGTCAAAGGTATGAACACTAACGATCATCTATATAGTCAACATGTAAGTAAGATGATAAGATGGCTTTCCCCAAAGTGGCTAAATGTGACATGGTAAAGCCCTTCTCAAGCACATCAAACAGGCTGCAATGACAGAAAGGGGCATGTTGGTGAGTGTGTGGAACAGCTAGATGTTCTGACCTAGTACCTTCTCTCATGGCACTAAAGTGGAACTGCCAGTTTCACTTACTCGGTACATACCTACTAAAAACAAATGCATACACTCCCCAAGAAATTAACTAGGCTCGTGCCAGCAGCTCCAAACACAGAGCACCCATGTACATTAGGAAAGTTAACAAACTATATATAGCCCACTCACACCATTGGGCCTTAGGCTAGTGTGCACTGCTGCTACTAAGGCAGGGGAAGGAGGGCTGAGGAGACAGGTGTACGCCCCAGTGCTATATGGCCAAGAGCAGGAAGGCAGAACACCCTCCCCCCCATTTTATAGAGGAGGTAGTTACCCAGAAGTTACTGCATCAGCCCAAGATTAGAAGTGTTGTAGATGGTAAGGCCTGGAAAATTAGGGAAGCAGTGACCTTGATGAGAAAGCTGTAAGGTCAGGGCAGGCAAGAGACAGGTATCTCAGGGGCAGAGAACTATGGGACCCAGGCAGTGAAGAGGGTCCTGTCTGCCCTCAGCAGATTACACCATCAAGTTAGCTGTGTTTACCCAGGGGTCTGACCTCAGGTGAGTAAGCTCTCATTGAAGATGCTTCCTCCAGTTCTGTAGTCAGTGTGGACCTTGTAGAGACATGACCCCAAGTAAAGGGTTTAAGATGGGATGTCCCACTTTTTGTAAGAAAAGGCTACCATTCATTTCCCTGGAAGCCTCTGGCCCCAGGAGAGGTTATAGGATGTGCAACTGGAGAAGTATATTCCAGGTCTGAGGGAGGGAATGCAGAATGAGAGTCCAGGGACCACTCTCAAGGAAGCATGAGAGAGGGCTCTGTCACCCCCACTCTTGCACTGTCTCTCAGCCTCAGTGAGCTACATTTACTCACTAATATAAAAAACAAACAAAAAACCTATTCAATACTGACAACCAACTGTTCTAGACCCTAGGAACATAGCATTCCAGGGCTCTCAGGGAACTGAGTTAAATAGAAAAGACAGCAAAGCTGCACTTGATGACCATAAGAAGGGGACATGAGCAAGGAAGCAGATGTATGTGCTTCAGGGTGGGTGCTAGGAGTTCTCTGGGTGCACATCTGGACAATGAGGAGGAGCTAAGTGCTCTAGGAGCTGGAAAAACTCTCTAGACAGAGAAAAAGGCTCCTCTCCAATCTCATATATAATGACTCTAAAGCCCCATGGGCCCATTTTCTTGTGATTCTGCTTGTCTGCCAGACCTTTAAGCCAAGCTACCAGCCACTGCCCCTGCTGGAGTCATGCTTGCATTCTGACTTGGTCTCCCTCTCCTCTTAGCTCTTGCACATGCAACAGTCATCCATATTGGATGTGCGTATAGATTTAGATGTCATGCCAGTAGGGTGCTTTGTCTAAAATCTATGTATAACCCAGATCAGAAACTTTCAATGGCTTCCCCATTACTTCTAGAGGACCAAGCCCAAGGCCTTCAGCACACACAATGCATAGCCCTACCCATCCTTTGGCCTCACCTCCTACCCAACCTGTTACCTCTTAAGCATAGGCCTGGACACTATATACTATACTCTGCTCTCCAAAGACAATACTAAAAATATATATTCACATATTTACCTCATCTCTTAATTCCCCAGTTCTTGGAGCTTAACCTGGTGACTTCTAACAAACAGAACGACATAAAAAATGTGATATGTGACTTCCTCAATGTCTATGTGTTGGGAAAAACAGGTCTCTTATCATATTATCAAGGAACTGAAGCTTTCTCCCAACAGCCATGTTGGGGCACTATCTTGGAAATGGGGTACTTCAGCCCAGTAGTGTCTTCAGAGGGTACATTTATTTATACTCTCCCATCACATTGCCCATGGGTGTGTACTCTACAGAAACCAGGGAAAAGGTAACATTCTTGCTGTAAGCTGCTAGACTTGGGGTGATATGTTATAGAGTCAATAATAATGGGTATAGCTCAAGTATGGATTGCTGTTCTCTGATGCTTTGGGCCTATACATAGCCATTTTCTTCCTGAGATGTCTCCTATATTTGGCCTTCCCACCAAACTCCTCCCCACTCTTCAGGGTCCAACAGAAATGTTACTTCTTCAGTGAAACATCCCTTAATATCATTTCCACTCCACAGCTGGCCCTCTGTGCCCTCACCCAATCAGTGCCTGGCTTTAACATGGCTCTTTCTACTCCACTGATCTCCACTATACTCTGTTATCTCTGAGGCCTGCCGAAGCCCCCTCTACTGCCCACCTATCTGGGCAAGAGAAGGCTGAATACTCAGAAGCTTCCTGGAGGCTCTGTCAACCAGTAAGAGAGCCACCACTTCGCATTTCCAGTGAGGTGAGTATAAAGGAAATAAGTATTTTATAACAAGTATTTAAACCCCAAATCTGTATCTTTTCCTCCAAATAATGGAAAAGCATGAGTATGTATCACAGTCCCCATCTTATGTACCCAACAAACTGGGTGAGGGAAGCCAGCTCACCTGAATTAGAGCAAGCACTTTGTCCTGAACGATGGTGGGAGGGTTATTCTTGGGAGAAATAATTTTGACCAGAACGCTGTCGATGAATTCTCGGTTGGCCACGAGGAGATGAAAGCGGTGGCCACAGTTCTTCACACAAGTCTCCAGCACCTGAAGTTGTGGGGGATTGGGGTGGGGAGGTCACCACACTGGGAACAGGGGTGGGGGTAGCTGAGTTCCTCACCTGTCAGTCATGCTTCCAGATCATCTTCCTGTTAAATCATCTCCAAAGCCAACCCTCACACGTTCCCATACTAATTCATACTGTTCCTTGGGAATGACAGACCTGTGCTGACTGAAGGCTCCTGGCCCTGCACAGTAATCAGGCAATTAGTTGGTAACTGAGACTCCAATTTTATATCAGAAGGATACTGGTCTTCTAATGGTGTCAAAATAACTGGGAGGTTCCTGAAAACAAACATTTTAATTCTTCTCTCTAGGCATAGGTGTGAGTTCTTAGCCAATGGGACATAGACTCTGTAGCAAGAGGAAGCCGCTGGGAGATCTCGAATTGCCTGGTGAATTACTGGCCCTTGTGTGTGAGGAAGCAAATACATATAACCAACATACTCCTGTTCTGCAAATCAGCAACAACACTGTATTGTAACCTTTGACAAATGGTGTGTGGATCCCAGTCAGTTTTAGATTCCATCCTTCTCAATAAGACCCTGCTCGGGCTGGAGAGATGGCTCAGTGGTTAAGAGCACTGTCTGCTCTTCCAAAGAACCGGGGTTCAATTCTCAGCACCCACATGGCAGCTCACAACTGTCTGTAACACAAATTCCAAGGAATCTGACACCTTCACACTAATGCACATAAAATAAAAATTAAATAAATTACTAAAAAAAAAAAAGAAAAGAAAAGAAAAGACCCTGCTCACTCCTGTCTTATCTGAGGAGGTTCACAGGCCTCAGCTGCTTTGAGAGCGCGGCTGATGGGCTCTGATCAGGTAGCAGTGGGAGTCATATTTCGCTTTGCTACTTCCTCCCTGATAGTCCAGGACAAGTTCCACTCAGCCTTTCTGTCCTCATCTGGAAAGTGGGAGCAATGAGCTCTCCCTTGCAGGGAGGTTAGGGAGGACATATGGCAACTGCTCAGGCATCCACACAGGGTAGACGACCAGGAGGACCATGGATGCCACTCCAGAAGGCTGCTGCATCAGTGGCTTCTCACATGTCCCCAGGAAAGTTACGCGAGTATTAGGAGGGCCTCTCCAGCCTCAAACACAGTTCTCTAAGTCTGTCTCTCCTGAAAAAAGCCCACAAGATCACGCAACCCTTCCCAAGGCTTTTCAAGAACCTGCTAATGAATGCCTCCTACAAGGATAGTGTCAGCAGCAAGAGATACTTCTAACCACCTCATTGTTCCTATATGACCATGAATTAGCTTATGGCATTGATCCTCAAGTGGCTCCTACCATAGGCTTTTGCCTTGACAATGTGCAGACAAAAAACGTTCACATTATGACATAGATAAATGCCAGCTACATATCAGGTACACTGAGATCCCTCCATACTATATATAATTTCATTCTCTTCTCAAAACTATTATGGTCCCTTCAAGTACACCTTGGTAGTTGATTTTTCAAAGTTAAGAGGCTCAGGAAGGAAACACTGACCAAGAGGCAGGATGGGAACTCTTTTTTCCTTCTTTTGCAATGCTAGGGATTGAACCCAGTACCTTGTGCAAGTTCTCTACCACTGAGTTACTGCTCTAGCCCAGGACAGGAACTCTGATTCACTTTCTCAGGGATCCTGACCCCCTGACCCATCTGAGGACCAAGTCATCCCTCTTTTGAGCTCTCTTCCAAGCAGCCACATCAGCTGTGAGGCCTCAGAAAGAAAAACTGTGTTCTGGATTATTTGTTATTTTCTTGTTCTTTAAGCTAACTGTAGAAGGCATCAAGCTGTTTGAGAAAAAGCTTATGCTCATAGGTGAAGTCATAGAATTTCACCTAGGAAACTCGGCAGGTCTACAATTCTCCAAGTCACCTTTTACCTTCTTCTTTCTCTTGCTGTACTTCTGGAGGCTCCATGTGCTATTTGGTACACCAAGGAAACACTGCAAAATCATATTTGAGACTTCTGAACAACTGCCATTTATCTTTTAAAAGACTTATTTACTTTTATTTCATGTATGTGGATGTTTTGCCCATATGTATGTTTGTGCACCAAATGTATGCAGTGCTCCTGAGGACCAGGAAAAGACATTGGATTCTCTGAAATTGGAGTTATACATGGTTGTAAGCCATCATGTGGGTGCTGGGAACCAAATCCAGGTCCTCTCCAAGAACAGCCAGGTCTCTTAACTGCTGAGCCATCTTTCTAGCCCCATAACCACAAATTTTATTTAGCTAAGGAGAATTTCCCTTTCTTAATCTCTGATTGTACCTAATTCAAGAGTTCTCACTCTCAGGGATCCATGGGGGCCACCAAGAGAAGCTAGAGAGGTTTCTTTTTCCCTAGGTATGTTGCAGGTACCTTTTCCTCTGGGTTCTCTACTTATTCTCTACTCTTGGCATGGTTGCTGAGCTGCTGAGCCCTTCTTTCCTGAGGGGCAGGTGAGGACCAGCAGAGCAGGAAGCTCAGGAAGTTGTCCTGGGTAAAAATAACTAGAAACAGGAGCAGGCTGTGGTCAACCCTGGGCTCTGCTTCTCTTTTTAGGGAGTCCATGGACAGGATACTCTTCTCTCCTTCAGTTTTCCCACACAGCAGACCTTAAGGTCAGTGTGCCCCATCCTAGCCTTGGAAAATAGCCTGCGCACATGTGCCTGCAGCAGCCCAAAGCCTTTATGTGTAGGAGGCACAGGAAGTCCTCTCTATCAAGGCCATGTCAGGCCACCCTTCCAAAAGGGCTCTTGGCAAATCTGACTTTGTGGGTTTAAGGGGATGAAACACAGTGGCAACTTTTGGAGATACATCCAAAACCCATGGAATAAACAAGGGGAAGCTCTAGGCAATGAGAAGCAGATGTTAGCTCTCAGGATCTCTAGCTCCACTGGATAAATACTAACAGCCTAGGCAGGGACAGATGTGCAGCTTGGAGAGGGCCACAAGGAAGAAACAGGGCTGACAGAAACTAACAAGTGAAGCCATCGTGGCAGACATAAAACCATGCCAAGTGTGCCAGGCAGGGACCTAGCTACAAGGACAACAGGTCTGCATGCCCACAGGCCTCCCAGGGGGGTTGCAGAAAAGACCTGGCCCTGAGGAAGGTCAAATGATGGCTGCCAGCTGATGCTGTAGGGACGCAAGGACATGCAGTCACTTTAAAAAGCTTTATCTACAGTGGTTGCCATGAAACTGGCACGAAGAGGGACAAATGCCAGAGTCGCCTCCCCAGTGATGCATGTCACAGCTCTGTGCTTCATTCTGGGCTCTACCAATGCTGAGGTTAAAAATAAAATAAAATAAAACTTTCACCTATTTCTCAACTGACTTTTCTTCTTTGCTATGCAAATCCCAAGCCCCTGGCTGAGAGAGCTTTTCTGTTAAGCTTTGGACTTTATTTGGGGGTGCAGAGGAGATCACAGCAGCTCTTCTGCTTTACGAGAAAATATGTTATGGCAGTTTGGAATAAATAACCCACTTTTCCACACCTACAGAAGTTGACATGGTGACTTGTTACAGTTTCTATTAAAAAGTCACTGTGGCCCAGATTTTATAGCATCTGAAAAACTGTTAGCTTTCAAGACAGAAATAGCACCTCAAATAACCTTTTTAGTTCTCTATATCTTAAGGAAGGGCACAATTTTTATCTATTTGCCCTGAAAGGAGTCACTTGGCTGACTTTTTCAAGAACCTTTGTATTATTTTCATTTTTATCCCAAACAAAAGACCATTCTGTGATGGCACACCACAGCTTGGTGCTTCTCTAGCTGTGAAGTGCTCCAAAGCCCCTCAGAGCCCAAAACACTCAACTGTAAGAAGGTAGTGGTAAACATCTCATCAACATCTGCAAAGCTCCATCCTGGGCAGATGTTGGGCGGATAAAGGTGAACATCTGTATAAACTGACTCCATCATCTCAAATAGACTGGTAGCAGGAAGAGATCTGTCCTGGCCTCTGGCTCTTCCATCCTGAGCTTCTACCCACGGTTGCTGGGTACAACAGTGTCATCTACATCTTAGCTTCTGATATACACCTTCCCCATTTACGCTTGCCTGCTGCATCAGAGGTGGGCAGGGGACCCTAAAGGTCCCCTGGAAGCTGCTGCTGAACCATGACAACACAGGCTACATGTTGGAAGCCCATGTGAGTGGACAGAGGGGGTCCTGGGAAGAGTAAACCTGAGCTAGGTGCCCTAAGTTTTCCCTCCCAGGAAACAATACTCACCGTGAGGGCCAACATCACTTCTCTGTAGTTTCGGTTCCCACTGAGCCGCTTCTTTAGAGCTCGAATGGCATCCTTTGGTCTGGCAAAAGGACAGACAAACTATGATCCTCACAAGCCTCATGGGGCACAAGCCCAATGTCAACTAGCATGGGTATCAAGGTTGCTCACTGCACCATGTTTGTAAAAGACTGGAGGGACATTTACAAGAGGAAACAAGGCTAATTACATCATGGCCTTTATGCAGCTGCAAATAAGAATAAAGAAATTTCTTGGACATTTTCACAGACCAAACTCAAAAGACATATACATAAGAATAAATAGAATCAAGGACAAAAAAAATTACATGATTGTCTCAATAGATGGGGGAAAAAGCCTTTGACAAAAAAAAAAATCCCTGAAGAAAGAAAAAATACAGGAACAACAAAATAAAGGCTGTACATGTGATAAATCTACACATAATATCATACTAAGCAGGGAAAACCAGAAAGCATTTCCCTTAAAGTCAGTATTGAGAAAAGGATGTCTATACTCTCTGGACTTACTCAGTATAGTACTTGAATTCTCAAAATGAAACAAACTAGACACAAATGGTAAAGGAATAAGTCAGATAATCATATCTGTGGATGATATGATCTTATATATAAAATCGTGAGCCAGGTGTGGTGGTGCATACCTTTAATTCCAGCACTTGGGAAGCAGAGGCAGGTGGATCTCTGTGAGATGGAGGCCAGCCTGGTCTACAGAGTGAGATCTAAGCCAGCCAGGGCTACACAGAAAGATCCTGTCTCAAAAAATAAAAAAGACCCCCGAAGACTGCCTTAAAATGTTTAGACCTTATAACACTTTTAATAAAGTATCAACATTTAAAAATCTGATAAGGCAATGATGAACATGCTAAGAAAAAATAGGACAATTCTAATCACAGTAGTCTTAAAACAGAAATAGCCCTAACAATGAAGCAAGCAATAATCTCTACAATAAAAACACTGAAGAAAAAAATTAAAAGAACTTTCATATTCATGTATTATCAGAATTAATATTGGGGAAAGGTTATATTGTCTAATATTATCTATAAATTCACTGCAGTCCTGATCAAAATTTCATTAATATTCTTTGCAGAAACAGGAAAAATAATCCTAAAATTCATAGGAATCATAATAGGCCCTGAGTAGCCAAAGCAATCCTGCGGGAAGAAATACAAACAAAACAAAACAGAAAACCAATGCTAGACATAGCAGAATTCTTAACTCCAGATAATACTGCAGAGCCTTAGTAATAAAAGCAGCACAGTACAAGGCCAAACACACGGAAGTATTACTGTATAGCCAGAAATAAGCCCACCAAATACAGGACCCGATTCTTTATTTTCTTCTCTACGTAGCTGTCCTTGAACTCAGAGAGCCACCTGCCCTCTGCCTTCCAAGTGCTGGGATTAATGGTGTGTACCACCATGCCTTGCCATCTGATTCTTGACAAAGATGCCAAAAACATACACTAGAGAAAAGCCAGCATCTTCAACAAACAACCTAGGGAAACTCAATATCTGCATGCAGAAGGATGAAACTCAATCTTTATCTCTCACTCTGCATAAAAATCAGCTCAAAATGGATCAAAGATCTTAAAATAAGTCCTGAAACAATGGAACTGCTAGTGGAAAGCTTAGGGGACACACTTCAAGAGACAGGCACCAGCAAGGAGTTTTAACAATTACGCTTAAAACATTTCTGTACGGCAAATGAAACAATAAGCATAGGGAAGAGAAAGCCCCTAGAATGGGGGAAAATCTTTGCCAAATATACAGCTCATAGAAAAGTAATCAATATAGAATATACAAATAAATAAACACCAAAGAACCAAATTATCCAAATGACCTGAACAGATAATGCTTAAAAGAAAAAGTATAGGTCGGGGAGTGGTGGCGCACACCTTTGATCTCAGAACTTGGGAGGCAGAGGCAAGAGGATCTCTATGAGTTCAAAGCCAGCCTGGTCTACAGAGCAAGTTCCAGGATAACCAAGGCTACAAAGAAAAATCCTGTCTCGAAAAACAAACAAACAAAAAAAGAAAAGAAAAGAAAACTATAAGCAACCAATAATTACATGAATAAATGTGTATCATGTTTAGCTGTGAGGGAGACAAGTTAAAACTACACTGAGATTCCATCTCACCTCAGTCAGAACCAAAAATAAACAGGGCCAATGAGATGGCTCATGGGTAAAGGTGCTTGCTGTGCACACTGGCAGATAGGTTCAATTTCTGGACTCCACATAAAGGAGGAAGGAAAAAACATACTCCAAAAAGTCATCCTCTGACTTCCAAAGCTCACTAAGGAATGTATGTGTGACATACATACACAATACTAACAATAAATTAAATTTAAAATTAAAAGTAACACAAAATGCTAGAAAGGTTGGAAGGAGAAGGAGTCCTGACATGCAGGTTGGAATTTAAATTAGTTTACCATGGGACTCAGTAGCAAGGCTCTTCACAAACAGAAACTAGACCTCCCACAGGACTCAGCCCTTTGCCCTCACAGTGGGCTCCAGCCACCAAAGGGCACACGGCTGGCCTTGGTGTTACCTTAGGCAAATGTTTGGAAGTCGGGGCCTCTCACTCCTGTGGTTCTAACATGTGTACCGTCTTACACATGAAAATGTCCTAACAAACATGCATAAAGTCAAGGCAGAGGAAGACGGATGCTCTGCTAACCAGCGTCATTTAGAGAGAAAGCCAGAGTAAGTAGCAAGGCGAGTAAGCTCTGGAAGAAAGCTTTAAAAAATTATTCAAATTGGAGTTGACAAGAGGCTTAGTTGTTGACAGCACATGCTGCTCTTGCAAAGGACGGGGGTATGTTTACTAGTACCTACATCAGACAGCTCACAACCACTTACAACTCTACCTCCAGGGGATCCAGCCCTTCTGGACTCCCCGCATGCATATAGAATGCCCCCACACAGACATTACACACACACAGTGAAAAACAATTTAAGACTCAAACCTCTTTTGTTTGTTTGTTTGTTTGTTTGTTTGCCAAAACAGGGTTTCTCTGTGTAGCTGTGGCTGTCCTGAAACTTACTCTGTAGACCACTCTGGCCTCATATGCAGACGTCCACCTGCCTCTGACTCTGGAGTGCTGAGACTAAATGTGTGCACTACCACCGCCTGGCAAGACTCAAACTTATTTTCTATTTCCAACTTAAAACACAGTTGTTCTGCCTGAATTCTTGGCTCCTCAGTCAAACGGCTGAGGAGACAGAAATGAGCCCTAGACCAGGACTTCTACAGTATGGGTGATTTCCAACAGGGATGCAGATTATAAATATAGCATTTCAGCAGCTATCTGCTTGGGTGGGCTGGGCTGAAGAAAACAGGTAACATAATGGTTAGAGAAGACTGATTTCCTCTCTGCAGGCTCTGCTCAGAGCCTGGGAACAGGCACTGTTCCCAGGCAGACAAGCTATACCCTCTCTCTTGGATTTCCATGATGAAAAAACCAGACACTACCCTGGAGGACTGTGTATTTCTGGCTGACAGTATGTCAGCATTCCCAGATTATGGGTGGAGGCCACTCAGATAGCAGGCAGGCTCTGGTTAGGTTTAAGCTGAAAATCCCTTCCCAGGTGCTATGCTTCAGGAAGTGCTACCCGAGAGTAAAGAGAAGCCTTTCTTTCTGCTGATCTGAGGGAGAAGTGTCAGAGCAGAGCATCACAGTAGGCTGCAGGAATCACAGGATTTAAAGAAGCTACCAAAGGCTGAAGGAACAACTGCTGAGTCAAGGGCCACAATCGGGAAGGCAGGCAGGATCAAGGGAAACATGGGCTTGTGTGAGGCGTGCCAGACCCCAGGGGTTCTCAGTAGAAAGGTGAGGACCCCATGGGGCAGTCCTATGGGCCTCAAAACCCGTCTCTGGCCACCCACACCCTTCTCAGACTCAAGCCCTTCTCTTAGGCTGTGGGGAGCTCTTCGGTGTCTCTCAAACAGCTGCAAGTTATGTTTCCTGTCACAGCGTCTCTCCTGAACACACACCCTCAGCAATCCATACTGCATTTACTGGATCTCCCATGTTACTCTAGGTTAAAGGTTGTAGCATAAGGACTCGGTAAGCCAGGAACAGTCAAAATGGTTGTAAAATGATCCAGATCGTTGAAGCCTGCCTAGTATCTGATTATTCCACAATATACCTACTGTATGTGTGTCTGTGTATTTCTTATTCCTCTAATCTTTACTGTAATTCTATGAGATGGACACTATTGACAAATCATTGATGAAGCTGAGGCAGAGAGGAAGTTGGGTTGTGTAAGTGAGCGGTGACATAAGCTCCTAGTCCAGGTAGATGGTGCCAACCCCCCCTCCCCCATCCACACTACAATACTTCCTATGCACCCAACACACACACTGCTTTCCAGCCTAGAGGCTCCGCCCCTCTCTCTGTTATCCACCTGCCTTGTCTTGCTAATATCCTGGAGTCCTATAAGAGTCTACTGAAGTGTCATCTCCTTCAAAAGGGCTTTGCTGCTGACAGCCCCCAGGCTGGCTGAGAGTCCCTGCACATGTCTGTCTCTGTAGCTATATGCAGCTTTTCTTGCTCTGTTTCTTTGTCTCTGTCTGGTCCTTGTCATGCTGTGTTATGATTGTATTTAGATGCTTGCATTTCTCATCAGACTGCCTTAGGGACTTCATTAATTCTTTACACACTTTAAAATATTTATTAAGAGCTGATTATGGAGCTGAGATGTGGCTCAGTTGGGCAGAGTGCTTGCCTAGCATACACAAAGCCCTGGGTTTGATCCCTAGCCCTGCATAAACCAGGTGTGATGGTGCACACCTGTAATCCCAATACTCAGGAGATAAGGCAGGCGGATCAGAAAATCAAGGTCATCCTCCTCTAAAGAGCAACTTTGAGGTTAGTCCCTCATACACACACACACACACAGAGAGAGAGAGAGAGAGAGAGAGAGAGAGACAGATAAACAGAGGAGCTAATTATGTGAAACTGTCACACACACAGAGAGAGAAACAGAGACAGAGACAGAGGAGCTAATTATGTATTAACTGTGTTGTGGAAGAGACAAAATAGTGAGTGTGATAGAGAGGAATTCTTGCCCTCTTCAAGTGCACAGACTAGCAGGCTGTTGGGCAAGACAGACACTAAAAGGCATCACAGAGATCTGAAGCCCAAGTATAATACCACACAATATGACAAGTTAAGAGGGAAAGGGCCAGAGGAGTAAAATTTGTGTTGTGATCCAGTAACTGAGGGGAGCCACCTAGAGGCAGGGAGACTGGCTCAGAGAAACAAGAGGAACAGCACTCAGGAGGGAGAGCCAGTGAGTGTGCTTTGTTTTCGCTTTCTCCATGTGGGAGGGATTTCAGCAGACACATTACAACAGAGGCAAGCACAGATACTCTTCGAGTCACCATGCTGTCATTCCAACACATGAACAAGAGGTCAGAGCTCTGGGAATGCATAACCGGCGCTCCAGGAAGCTGTGGCTGAGAAGCAGGTCCCTGGTTGCTCACACTTTGAAAGGGACTTACGTTTTCTAGAAGGAAGAAGATCCAGGAGTTCTTAGACTTTCTGCTCTCAACACTTAGATATTTGACTGGGGACAAAAAAAGAATTCAAGGGGCTGGAGAGAGGGATCAGAGGTTAAGAGCACTGCCTGTTTTTCCAGAGGTCCTGAGTTCAATTACCAGCAACCCCATGGTGGCTCCCAACCATCTATCATGAGATCTGGCGCCCTCTTCTGGTGTGCAGGCACACATACAGGCAGAACACTGTACACATGATAAATAAATAAATCTTAAAAAAAAAAAAAAACAGATTTCAAAGAGCTAAAAGAAAAATTAGTGAGGCTGAAGGGCCTGAAGAATGGCTGCAAAGGTGTGTAATTAAGGGTTTTATGTTAAAAACTTAAGACTACTCTGGAAGGAAACCTGAATCAGGAGCAGAGGGAAGAAGTAAATGCATTCCTCTTCAGGGGAAAAGTGCAGATGAGAATTGGACCTGAGCCATGCTTCCAGCCTGCTTCCCAATACTCCCTCTTCACCATGTGACCTCGAGCCACCTGGACCCCCCTTCTTATGCTACCTTGAGTACAAGTCATACTATTCCAGAAGCCAAGCTCAAAGCTGGCCCCTCTAGAAGGCATCTGCAGCACTTCTTTGGAGACAGCTGTCTGTGGGCACAGGCTGGGCCACAGCTCCCCAGCATCCTAGGCCAGTCCTAGTGTGGGGGACCACATTCACCTTAGCTCGGATCTAGATCTCTTCTCTGCCTGCCCCACCTCGGCACTGGGAGCTCCACCCTGCTGTTTGTAGGTCCCAAACCTTGCTGTTATCTTTGACATTTCCCTCATATTCCAGACCAGCAAATGCTATTAGCTTTAATTTCTGAATCTCACCAGGATCTAATGATGCCTCCCTCGTCCTTACCACCATTTAAGTCCAGCTTACATCATCAGTCTACAAGAGGATGGCCGTAATAAATCACTACTGCTTTACCTGCTCCATCTTTGGCCTGCCCTGGTGAGCCCATTCTGAACATGGATGACCATTCTTGATTAAAGGCAGACCATACCATCTCACTGCCCAGATCCTCCCAAGAGTTCCCTATAGTGCTCGGCCCACCTGAACAGCTTAGGTGGTTTGTCTTGTTCATAGTTTGCCTCCTGTTCTAATCGGGAACCTCCCCAAGAGGTGAAATTGGGTCCCACTCACTGCTGCATCCTTCATGTTGACAACAGTGTCTGCAAAAGGCAGGCACTTTGTAAGCATCTGTCAAATGAAAGCAGGATTGACGAGAGGACGAGCAAGCAGATATCACTACCAATACACAAGCCTTGGGGTGCCCGAGCCCCACATGGTCTCCTTGACACTCTGGAGTCAAAAAGAACATAGTAAGAGTAAATTGGTGTCTATGGTCTGGAGAAAACCCTAAGTCAGAGTGCTCTGTAAGAAATATGGATAAGTAGAGCTGGAGAGAAGGGGCAGACACAGTACACAATAACACCAAGAACGGATTCAGCAGTGCACAGAGTCAAGCAGGTGAGGTTGAGTCCGCCCACTCCAGACATGCTCAGCTGCTCTGAGCCATGGGTGTCCCTCTGTCACTCCTTTGTCTGATGATTACACTCTGGCCTACTTCCATGACACCCTGGAAAGCATCCCAGGGTACGGATAGCTCCCGTGTCTTCAACAAGGAAGCAGGCTCTGAGGAGAGGTAAATGACATACATTTCTACTCATGGTTCAGAGCAGATGATGGAGACGCGTCACTCCTCAAACTGGAACACTGCTATGGGGATGCAGGGGAGCATCGGTGGGAAAAGACAAATTACCAAATTTTAGCTCACTAATGTCACATCAAACAGACTGAAAATAATAATAAGTTAAAAAAAAAACCCAAAAACCTCACCAGAGGTGAACCCGCCACACTGAGCACTGACAAGCTATGCATGTCACCCGAGAAGTTTCCCAGGAAAACATACCCTTCCTCCGTCTCATTGATGATATCACAGATCTCCATGTTCAGTGTCCAGTCCTCGCTCTGCAGGGAGCCATCCGTTGCCTTCTCTGTGAAATTAGAAAGAAACTGCTTTACATTTCTCCTGGAATATGGGGCCCGGAAGGAAATGGAAAGAAACTGGAACCACCACTTCTGGGACTACTGCTTTCACAAGGGAACATCCAAGAAGCATGCAGCTCAGGGGCCAAGATTGTCTAGTCTCCAAATCCCATAGCCAGGAGGCCTGAGGTACTAGAGCCCACAGATTCCAGAGCCAAGCCACCAAGCTAAAATACAGGCCCTACTAGTCATATGACTTTGGGAAAGTTAATTAACCTGAGGCGCCAAACCTAGTTAAAACTATAGCATACATCCCATCAGAAAAATTAAGTAGCTTAATATGTATAAACCCTTAGAATACAGTCTGGCACACGGCTTGTCCTCTATAGATATCTGCTGCTATACTTATGAAAAATCAACTGCAGTAGTTAAAACTGCATCTCAGAAGATAAGAAAGAAGAAGAGACAATTCAGTAAGATATGGTGTCATGGTTTGGATCTTAGTTGTCCCCACCCTACAGAAATCAGAGGCTAAGAGCTTGGTTACCAGCCTCTGGTGCCACTGGGAGGAACATGGTTTGGAAGAGGATTTGGGGAACTCTTTGCTTTCTGGATGCCACAGGGAGCCGTTTTGCTCACCCACATATTTGCTTTTGGACAGAGCTGATTGACCTTGAACTGACACCACCTGTCACAGTGATGCAAAGCTCAATAGCTGAAACACGAGGTGTTGAGGCCCTGATCTGTAATCGACCTTTTGATCACTTAGTGGAGAAAGGACAATCCCGATATTGAAAAAATGGTCCTCAGGGCTGCAGAAAAGATGGTTAAGGGCAGTGGCTGCTCTTCCAGAGAACCCAGGTTCCATTCCCAGTACCCACACGATGGATCACAGCCATCTATAATTCCAGTTCCAGGGTATCGGATGGCCTCCTCTGGCTTCCCTGGGCATGAGGCACACACACGGTACACAAACACACATGCAGGCAAAACATAATAAAATGATGGTTTTTAAATGGCTTTCCATATGCAAAAAGATGAAGTTGTACACTTTTCTTATACTATATTAACTCTAAATTGACTAAAGATGTGAACACAAGTGTTGAAAACTGTACAACTGTTAGGAGAAAGCAGAGGAAGCTCCATGACACATGATCTGACATGGTCCTAACACTAATGCATAGGTACCCATTATGGAAAAATACAGGTACTGGATGAGTCAAAATTAAAAACTTTTGGGGCTAGAACTGAGTGGCAGGTTAACTGCCTTCCACAGGCAGTTGAACTCAGCACCACCAAACCCTGCCCCCACCATGCACTAAAAACATAGACAACAGAATAAAAAGGCAGCCTCTAGAATGGAAGAAAGTCTTTGAAAAATCAGACACATGATAAAACATAAATGTCTAGAATATAAGGGACCTTGCAACTCAACAAAAACAACAAATACATATATGAATGAATGAAAGAGAAAGGTTGGCAGACATCATGGTAGATGCCTATAATCCTATGGAGGTAGAAGCAAGGGAATCACGAGTTTAATGCCAGCTTGAGCTACAGAATCTGAAAAACAACAATGAAAAAAACTGGGAAAGACTCCAAATTGGCATTTTTCCCAAGAAGAAACATAAATATATTTATATTATTATATAATATTATACAATGATTATATAGCAAATAGATGATCAAATATATTTGCAGTAGAAAATATATTACATATGTATACACATACACATATACATATATTTGTTTCTAAATGCTTTGCCTCCATGTATGTCTGTGTACCACATGCATGCAGTGCCTGTGGAGGCCAGAAGAGGGCACTGGATCCCTTTCCACTGGAGTTACAGATGGCTGTTAGCTGCCACTCGGGTGCTGGGAACTGAACTCTGGTCCTCTGGAAGGGCAGCCAGTGCTCTTAGCAACCACTGGGCCATCTCTTCATCCTGGCTATTATTTTTAAAACATAAAATAATTAACTTGATAAAGATGTGGAGAACCTGGAACCCTTCTTCTTTATTGAGAATGTAAAATAGTACAGATAGAAAATTGTACCGTACAGAAACAGTATTGTGGATCCAAAAAAAAAAAAATCCTTAAATTCTGTTTTGGGTGCCTCTTTTTATAAAGGCATGTGTATGCTCCTACTCAGAGCAGAACTGTCCATGATGTCCCCCACCACTGACAATGGACTAAACCCCTGAAGCTGTAAGCAAGCCCCTGATTAAATGCCTTCTTTAACAAGAGTTGCCCTGGTCATGGTCTCTTCACAGCCATAAAACAGTGACTAACACACAGCACTCACTGCTTTTCCAGAGGCCCCAAGTTTGGTTCCCAATACCCAGGTCAGGCAGCTCACAACTCCTACTTCGGAAGATCCAGTACCCTTTTCTGTCCTCCGTGGGAATTTGTACACTGAAACACATATTCATACCCAAACACACACACACACACGGATATATTTCAAACCACTCAGAAAAGAAGAAAAAGTATAGATAGCACAATGGACTCTCTGGTTGGAGAGAACAGAGAAGTGAAGATCACAGGGAACATAAGACTCAGTGGGCTCAGGATTAGAGGTGGACTCTGGGTCACTTGATGCCTTTTTCCCCTGGGCTGTGAGCCCCATGATGGCAGGGACTGTGTCTCTTTCACCTTTTCCTAATGAAAGACCAGGAGTTAGACAGACTCCCCGGTAGGCAGGCAGATAGGGAGAGGGTAAGGGTGGTGAACTTCCAAGGTGCCCAGCTTCTCCCTCGCCCTTTTGACTTGTGATAAAAACCTGGCAGCTTTTGTCTCTCACTAGCAGGCCCCTGTTGGTAGACTGTCTCAACAAGTTCAAGGCCAAATCAGGGCTTGTCATACAGTTCAAGACCAGATCAGGACATGTCACACAACAGTTGCAGACCAAATCAACCATCCTATTTGTCTTCAAACTGACCAACCATAAAGTAGAAGAGAAAAAACTCTTCAGAAGCTTTAAAAAGCCCAGTCCTCAATTTTTTGCTTTCCAAGTCTCTGCTCTGCATTGCAGAGGGTCTTTTTTCCCTGTGTGCTGCACAACCTCTGTGTTTCCTACCCACAATAAATGTCTTCCTTTAAGTGCTGATTCTCTTTGCAATACTTGAGATTTCTCTGCTGTTACCTCTTTCACTTCAGATTTTCCCATCACTACATCACTAAAGTCTAGCACTTGGGAGGTACGTAACCCATTTACATCTGATGAAGGCCTAGATTCACATTCTCTCCTCTAAGTTAGTAGTCCTCAGCATTGTTTACACACATGACCATTCTGGGGAGGGTCTAGAACACATATACCCAGAGATTCTGATCTGATTAATGGCAGTCCTCAGCCTTTCTGAAAAACCATTCTGGGAAGCCTCATGGTAATACAGAGGTATGGCCAAGGTTAAAGATTAGTGTTGTAGACTGCACCCTGGGCTGGTGCTCTATAGCTGGGCAGTGAGAGGCTGACCTGGCACTTTCCTTAGGAGAGCAATCTCATTGCCCTGTATGCAGAGACTGATACTGTGTGGTGAGGGACGTACGCATCCTCCTCCGAAACTCCTTGGCACTAGAGTACAGGTGTTAAACCTCCTAGAGTGTGTGGCACCCTCTGTTAGCACCCCGGCTGGACTGTCACTGTGGCTGTCTTAATTATCTCTCTTTCCTTAGCTTCCAAAACAGTATGCGGCATATCTCAGACTCTTGTCAATCTTGAGAGAATGGGGTTTGGATCATGGGGCTTTACTTTGCCTTCAAGCTGTAGAAAGGACTGTGTTGTAGCCTGCAGCCTGCCACTTTGTGAACCTTCTTCTGGCTCTGTTTTCTTCCTTTTAAGAGAAGGGGTTGTATAAAAAGACAGCCCAGAAAGCAGGACTAAGAAGTTAAAGTTTGCCCTCTTGACTCTTCAACAGAAATGGAACTTCTACGGTGAACATTCACAGAGAACGTCATGAAGCTGAAGCAGGAGGCAGTAATGGCTGTGTGGAATACTTGCTTCAAAGAGGCTATCCCTGCCGCACTGAAGTATCAGTAATCCAGAAAGTTCATTGCATATTACTGACCCATTACCCAATGAGTTTCCTACCCATCAAACCCCCATTTTCTTCTTTCTTCAGCTTGGCCTGGAGCACCCTGAATGCTATTTCTTTGTTCTGATAACTCTGGGCTACTGCCCACACTTGCTGACTGGGGAGATAATTTGGCTGTTTTCTTCTCCAGACTCACCAAAAGAATGTCGCTGAATGCAAAATGCTAAACCAGTGCTCTTTTGCCTTCTAGTGCTGGCGCCTCTGAAGTCTGTATATTTAGCATCCAAGTGTAGATATGGCAGCCAAGAAACCAACCCACTGTGAGCTCCTCTCAGCAGGGCTGCCTTAGGACTGCAAGCATGGGAGGGGTGGGTAGGCAAGAAAACCATGCTCCAGAGAGTATGAACACTGCTGTCGGGGTCAAGGCGTGAGGGAATCCTGGCCCAGCTCCAACACCAGGTTGGAAGTAGTCCTTTCTGAATGAAGCAAATTCTATGGCAACAATATTAGGATGCTAGGGTGGGGTATGTATCTGATTGCTTCATTCTGTTCATTCCAGCTCCTGGCCATTAGCACAGCTTCAGGGACTTCAACATTTCACAACCACAGTCACTGTTGTGTTAGTGTTTATCCATCCCAGCTCGTGGCTGGCACGAAGGATTTATCCATTGCTCCCTGGAGGACTGCTTTCTACCATTGTACCAAGTTTTATTTTAGGATTTGATAATTTACGTGTCAAAAGAAATGAACTTTGCTCTCCTCTAGCCTGGAGACCAGACTAAATAAGGGAGGCCACATTGAGTGGCCTCAATCCCAGAATCAGCCAGACACAACTTTGTTCCCATTTGATAGAAATTCTTTTATGAAAAAGTAAAATAAGAATTGATTGAGCTGCATTGTCAGCCTTGATTCTCTCCTCTGGCTTCAGCAGGTGTGGCTTTCCAAAGAAGCAGGAATCAAAAAAGGATTCTTTT